TGCTCGTACCAAAGCCAGCGCAAACGACGGTTGCGGGGGCTCGGGCAAATTTTGTTCCTAGCCTGGGTGTAAGCGCTCGGGCTCCCCACATTAAACCAAACTATTCGCATTATTTTTTTTACGAGCTCACCTTTTTCTGTAAACCAGTAATTTCTTTGACTCAAAAGTTTCCGTCCCCTGGCAGATTTCATTACTGTACTGGCATAAGATTTTACTGGGTAATAGTATGTGTAATAATCAGTTAGTCAACTAAATTTTATGCGCTGGTAAGTGACTGATATCTTAGAGAGATCAGTACCACTGTGGAGGCGAACACAGCTCTCTATACAGCACCTTATACAATCTGGTGAAATAGAGCGTCTGGAAAAGAAGCAAGAGATATTTGTGATCAATGCTCTCAAATACGGCCATGAATCTCAAACTGCAGGATATCTACGAACCGCCCCACGCGGTCAGATGTGGCACATGGTTAAATTTAATGTGGGGTATCCGAGGCCGTAGGTTCGGCCAAAAATTCCCCGTAGACCCCGTATAAAACAGGATCGGGTAGCTGTTTCCGGAGACGAAACTCTGCCTCGTCTGGGGATCCTCTCTGCTCGGAAGCAAAGAGTTTGACCAGCACAGCTGGAGACGAATCTCCAACTGCATACCAACATACAGTATTTACTATTGTATGTGAATGGGGACATACCCATTAACGTCCGTAGATATACTCAAGCAGTGACTGAAGCCGAGATACCAGGTCAGGATCAATAAAATACATTATATTTTGTTTCAAATCTTATCTCACTCTTTTGCTTCCATCTTTTTTTTTTTAATTCTCTCCTGTACGCCTTCCAATATTATCCGGGCGTAAGGTCATATCACGTTGAGACATGGTCCCCGTACTATCACCGAAGTTAAGCAACGTCGACCCTGGTCAGTACCTTGATGGGCGACCGCTTGGGTATACCAGGGGCTGTAAGCTTGAATGTGCGGTTGGTGTAATGGATAAAGGCTCGGAATTGTGAATCGGAGAGCCAAGTTCCAATTCCAGTTGCGACATTATATTCAATTACGCACTAATACCCATGAAAAGGCATGAATCCACCTCTTCTCATCCGGCTGTGGGTCTATTAGTAATCATTAAATAATTATTATCTAAAAAAACAAAAAAAATGATTCCTACAATCTGAAAAGTATTTTCTGGCTTTCAATAACTTGCAGTAGGTTGACAATCTGTAAAATAACGAATCAATCAATCCATTATCGTCTGGCTGCAATAATGTTGGAAATTCCTCCGAAATAATCAGCAATGTCAGTCCGACGAATACATATGTCGTTTATCGAGAAGGACCAACATAGAAGAAAACGTAACTCAGAATTTTAAGACTCGGTGTTTCAGAAATCCTTCCCATGTATCGAGGCACTGTATGAATTTCAGTTCAGCCAAGATGTTGTCATCCACAAAAGGTACAGCATAGGATGGTACGGAAACTGATGAGGACAGTAAGAGCTCGGCCAAAGAAGATTGCAGAACAAATGAATGGTGAGTTTGACTTCTATGTGTCGACAAGTGGTTAAATAAATACACATGTAAAATCTGGAAGGATGGTAAGCCGAAGGAGAAGGTGAACGAATTTTAGAGATCTTTTGCGGTGTTAAAAGTGGAATTATGTCTCGCAGTAACAGATGAAAACAACGGTCGAAAAGTCGAGATTGATTTTTGCGTTGATAACTCGAGGCCTACGTTTATGGCTTGACAGTTCCTTTCTGGAGAAAAATTGCTCAATCAGCAAAATGGCGTTTTGGTCTATAAGTCATTTTAAATTGACATCCAAACGCCATTAAGCTGGGAGGTGGCTTAATCTGAATAACTCTTAAAATTATTTGAAGATCATTCATGGTTGAGGTTGTAGAATAGGGATAAAGAAAACGATTAAGAAAAGGAGGGGGAGAGGAGATGGACAGGAAGAGAAGGAAAGGTTGAAGGAAAAGAGAAATGAATAAATTAAGGACACCGGAGAAAGAAAGAAAGAAAGAAAGAAAGAAAGAGAATAATAAAGAAAAATAAAAAATTACAAAGCAAAATAAAAAATATCACAAAAAGAAGCAAAACAGACAGAAAGGAGGATGTTTTATAATTAAATCCTTGTATACTACTGATTTTAAAAGAACGCTATCACAATGTTCATTGTAACATTCAAAGCAAACGATTTTCAATGATGGCTGCTCATCCGTTTCAATTTAAATAAATACGTACATCATATTTTTTATAATAAAAAGACAAATGAATATGTGTACGGGTATTGAACCCATATCCTCCTTGTATCTGTAGTTTAAACCAACGCCGCCTTATCCGATTATCTATGATTATACAAAAAAAAAAAAAGCATATATAATTATAAAACTATCCTTAGATGCTATAGTACCATCATTTAGAAACTAAGAAAATAGTGCTGAACAGCTATACAGTATGGCAGACAATACTGCACAATTTCCTCACAGATGTAGAAGTGACTTGAGGTATTAGGGATATTTTATTTTTATACTGACGTTCATCCAATACAAGGTTCAAGGACCATTCAACGTGAGGGTTACTGTGTGGTGTTTTGCGAGCGCAAGGACAAGTCACAGGTCGAGTTAGCTGTTATTAAATTTTCCATTCGGGTCTCCACTAGCATCCAAATGGTTGCAAGCTATCAGAATGTGAGCTCTCGCCAGGACTGCAACACATTTTTAGCAGTGCTGCCATTTGAATGGTATCAATTCTCCCTTTGTTCTTTACTTTCTTTGACTTTTTTTATTTGGTTCTTTGAGTCAGTTCCCAGTGCTCCGATAAGCATTAATACTACTTTTACTGTTAGATTATTATTATTATTATTATTATTATTATTATTATTTCTTTGGTTTATGGTCTATACTCATTTCGTTCCAGGTCCCGACCAGAGACCTAAGCTCAGAAATGGCATCATGCCATTGTCCACTGAGCAGTTTAAAAAAAATATCGCAAATATTTTACATAGAAAATGCAAAAATTGTAATCACAAGTACAGGCTATATCTTACAAGGGGTTTTATCTAAGGCATAGGCTACCAGGGATTCATTCAATGAGTCTATTGGAATCTTTTCCAACCAATCCGAGGGCTCCAACTACAACTGGAATTGTTAATGTTCTCATGCGCCACATTTTTAAGATTTCGATTTCAAGGTCCTTTTTATTTTGATAGTTTTTTGAAGATCTTCAAAGATACATTGCATTCTTAAGAGAGTGTCATGTCAATGAGGAGGTACATGTATTTGCGGTCTCTAATCACGATATCAGGGCGATTAGCTTTGATTGTTCTGTCTGTGTGAATTGTACAGTACCATAAAGTTGTTACAAGTCTTACCTCCGTAATTGGGTCTGTATGGTGTTCTTTTTATTATTATTATTATTATTATTATGAACAGCTTTCATTTTTTGTTCAGTACAGTTCCTGACCGGCTCATTAACTGAAATCCTTAATCTTAATGTATACTGGATAAAGATTGATTTCCTAGAATCGAACTCACTACGCTTCGAATCGAAATTACCAAACAATTATTCCACTGTGTTCATTTTCTCACAGTATCCTTTCCCCAAATACAAGGCTCAAGCGCCCCTCAAAGTAGAGTGGTATTGAATGAGATCGTTTTTATGGATGGTGCAGGTAAGAAGCGCAGTTCACGAGGTTATGGCGGAAAGATATCGGTTAACCTTAGACGTGAAGAGGTCAAGATTACAGTGATTGAGAAAACATCCTGCTGGGCGTCTGTTCCACAAAGCAGCAGTTCTTGTGAAGACGTTGTTCGAGTGGAACTTAACTTTTGACTCAGGGAATACGAAGGGAATGTGGATGATTCACCTTTGTGTAAGTGGCATGGCGGGTTGAGGTTCCACAAAAGATTGCCGAGAATAACATTGATGACACATTTTAGCAACGAGGAAGATTTAGGGAAAGTACAAATAAAAGTGACTATAAATAATAAGGAAAGAGGGCTTGGAGAATTTGATACACACAGGACAGAATGAAGGCAAGAGACACAGAGGAAAGCTGTGATTAATCTACCGAACGAGCTTGTGTGAATGGATCGCAGAAGATGGACGGGGCGGGGGATAGTCCGGGGAAAATTAATTAAATGTACAAAGGATAGGAAGTTGCGGAGAGTCATGACCGTCCTGAATGAACACAGCGCATAAAATTTGAGAAATAAACAGCGAGAATTTGGAAATAAAGTCTTCACCCAGTTTGAAAAGAAAAAGAAACAAAAATGAACATCGTTTCAAAATTACAATCCAGAAACAGGAAAAAAAAAAAAAAAAAACAAAAACAATCAACGGAAATACGCGAGTACACGCGTGTGTAATTGCGTGTATAGATCATGCGTCATGTACCATACCTATGAACATTAATGGATATGCCCCAATCCTCATAAATACGTCGGACACTATTGTAAGTGGGGGCGATCTGCTGTCTAACCTGAGCTGGCAGCGTGGGAAGCTCTTGTCGTGTCGAACTCTCTGCCTTCGGAACCCGTCGAGGCTATGCCGAAGGGCAAAGTCTCGTCCAGGGAAGCTAGGCAGATACCCGATCCAGCATATGCGGGGTCTACGGGCAATTTTTGTGCGAGCACATATTAAATTTGGCCTTGTGCGAGCGCATCCTACCTCGTGAGGAGGCATGTAAATATCGTAATATGCTGCCTAAGTAGTCGACCACTACCAGTGGTTTACCTACTTCGCGCCGCTGGCAAGTATTGTATTTTGTTGATGTTATAAAGATTACCATTTCATTTCCAACCTCCCTTTTGGTTATTCCTCATTCAGTAACCCTTTCTAGGTTACATCATCATACATATCGTAATTTATACATGACAAATGTATAAATGTAAATGTATCTGCTACATAACCGAAATAGTTGCTTATTTTATTTTTTCGGTGCCAGGGTTCTGTGTTCGAGAGCGCGTCAGGAGGTGGGGATGGTGTAATGGATAGCGGCTCGCAATGAGAAATCTGAAAGCCGAGTTCGAACTCCTGTGTGTTCGTTATATTCAATTTCGCGCAAACACACAGGGGAAAGGTATAAATCAGTTATCTCGTCCCTGCTATGGGTTGAATCGCAGAATTTGTATCTGGAAAAATCAGTGGTATTCTCAAAAAATTGTGAATGGAAAAAGAAATTTTTACAATCTTATAATTTTTCGACTTTAAATACTCCACAAAGGGTTGATAAACTTTAAAAACAAATCAGTCACCCAAACATTTGAAACCGTATCAGAAACCAGGCTGTCGTATGTTGATTTTTCAAGGTGACCAGGGCCTTCCGAACAAGAATGATGGAGCAACACACTAATCCTTTCTAATTATTGACTTATGTCAAATTAAGCTAAGTTAAAAGAACAGGAATTACCTTTTGTTTCATATTCAGATATATCTATCTATCTATCTCTCTATCACAGATATATCTATCTATCTACTATATCTATTTATCTATCTATCTCTCTATCACAGTGTGACTATATCTATCTATCTATCTATCACAGTGTGACTATATCTATCTATCTATCTATCTATCTATCTCTCTATCACAGTGTGACTATATCTATCTCTCACAGTGTGACTATATCTATCTATCTATCTATCTATCTCTCTATCACAGTGTGACTATATCTATCTATCTATCACAGTGTGACTATATCTATCTCTATTTATCTATATTCATCTCTATCATCAGTGTGACTATATCTATCTATCTATCTATCTCTCACAGTGTATCTATCTATCACAGTGTATCTATTTATCTATCTATCTCTCTCACAGTGTGACTATATCTATCTATCTATCTATCTATCTATTTCTCTATCTCTATCACAGTGTGACTATATGATCTATATCTATCTATCTATCACAGTGTGACTATATCTATCTATCTATCTATCTGACTATATCTATCTCTCTATCACAGTGTGACTATATCTATCTCTCACAGTGTGACTATATCTATCTATCTATCTATCTATCTCTCTATCACAGTGTGACTATATCTATCTATCTCAGTGTGATCATATCTATCTATGATTGCATAGTTGCTATCAGCACTTATTTTACATAAATAATATTTATTTTTAAACATTATCTTCTTCTTTGTTAATGCATTTAATTTAGTGAAGTATATTAATCATAAGAATCGAACATTATACAATGAAAACTTAGCATATAACTAGATACTAGGCTACAGGCATATTGATCCAAAACACACACACATATATAAAGGTAGGTAGGAAAGTAGGTATACAGGTATTGATATAATCATACAGCTTTATTTGTCTAATAGGAGTTATTATATTTGAAATGTCATTGTAAATGTAATGGTTGAAATAGACGCCTACGCACAGAATACTGGAACGGAGTGCGCATATCTTTTCTTCTTCGTGTGTGTATTTGTATTTGTGTGTATGTGCGTGTGGTGGAAAACAGGCGTGTGCGCATGCGCTGGAATGTACGCAGTGCATCGCGAAGAACATTTCGAAATTAGTTTAAAGTGAGAGAAAATTTAACAGATTCTCCTAAACACGAAATAATTTTAATGGAAAAAAAAAGAAGTGGAAGGAACAGAAATGCTAAACAAATAAAGGGTTGACCGAAACGAAATAAAATTAAAATAAAATGATATATAAACAAAGACTTGTTAGTTTCACAAAGAGAAAAAATAAAAATAAAAAAATAAATAAAAGTAGAAAGAAAACAACGAAAGGTTAGCAAAAAGAGAAATTGGCGCGCGAGTATTGATGTTTGTATGATTGCGCATGCGTGTGTTTAAGTGAAGGCGAGAGAGGCTAATAGCCAGAAAAGAGAGAAAACGCGCGTAAAACGAAACCTGTTGAATGTGTGGTTAGAGAAAAGAAAAGAAAGGCGTGACATATGCTCTGTTCAGAAACTTGCAAAGATACCATATTAGGAAATGTACCAGACGTCACCGGCTCAAGATTGCGCCGGTACCTGTTGCATGAAAGGTAGCAGAAGCAAGTAGAAAGGGTTCTTTGAGAATGTGTCCTCCCACCGAAAATAATAGCGAACTAGCTATCTAGCTAGCTAGTTAGATAGATAGAGTGATGGAGAGGATAGAGAACAATTCAGAAAGAAATACAGAAAGCGAGTCAAGATAAAATGAAAAGAAAAGAGAAATAAAAAAAGGAAGTAATCGAAGGTTGGGCAATTGAGGGAGGCGTCCTGACTATATGTGCGCTCTGATCGATGCGTGTGGCTTTGAGTGTCTATGTGTTTGAGCTGCGAGTGTGTCTCTATGGTTGTGTGGATGCGAAAATGGAAAGTCATGTGAGTAGGTTTGCGTTATGATGATGAGATGACGTCACAGTGGCGTTTCCGCCCTTTTCTCAGGTAGGCTGGAATTGTGGGAAGGACTCAAAACCAACTGTTGCTTCTTTCAGAAACCCCACGCCCCGAAAGCTTAAATTTATGAAATAATACAAATAAGCGGAGCATTACACTATATATATTTTTAAATATATATTTTTAAATATATTTTTTTAAGTTTTTTTTTTGTTTAATTTAAATTTAGATTTAATTTTCTTTTTAAATTAATGTTTTTAATTTTCTTTTTAAATTTAAAAATATTTTCTTTAATTTTCTTATTCTTTTTAAATATGGACATTTTAAATTTCTTTGTATTATTGTAGCGTTCTTGTTTTAATGAAATTGACAGTTTAAATGCTATATATTTAAATAACGTGATGGTGAGAATATCGGAGATGTTAAGAGTGTGACAAAGTACAAAGAGAGAGAAATAGAAACGAGAGAGTGAAGGTGAATGAAAAAAGAAAAGATGAAAGAAAAGGTGAGAGAGGAGGAAAGAAAGAGCGAAAAGAGGAAAGAAAATCAGATAAAGAGAGGAGAGAAAAATGGCAGAGAGGAAAGCAAAGGAGAGAGAATTGAGAGAAAAGGCGGAATGGAGGAAGGAAACGTGAAAGAGAAGAAAGAAAAGTTGAAAGTCGGAAGAAAAAAGTAACATTGAAAGAAAAGGAAAAGAAACAGAAAAAGTGACAGGGAAGAAAGAGAAAGAAAAGAAAAAGTGACAGAGAAGAAATAAAAAGAAAAAGAGGAGAAAGAGAAATTGAAAGAGAAAAGAAAGAGAAAAATATGACAGAGAGAAAATGACAGAGAGAAAGCGGGGAAAGAAACATTGAGTGGAGAGGAGAAAGAGGGGAAAGAAAAAGTGACAGAGAGGAAATAAAAGGAGAAAGAGGGGACACAATTGAAAGAGAGGAAATGGGGAGAAAGAGAGGAAAGAAAGAGTGACAGAGAGGAAATAAAAAGAGAAAGAAGGGACACAATTGAAAGAGAGGAAATAAGAGGAGAAAGAGAGGAAAGAAAGAGTGACAAAGAAGAAAGGAGAAAAGAGGAAAACGGAGGAAAAGAAATGAAAAACAAAACTGAGAATTTAGAAAGTAAAAAAAAAATATTAGAAAAATATTTATGTAATGAAGCGGAAGAAAAACAAAAAAAAGAGTGAGTGAGGGAGAGAGAGAGAGAGAGAGAGAAGGAGGGAGGGAGGAGGAGGGGAGAGGGAGAGGGGAGAGGGAGGGAGAGGGAGGGAGAGGGAGAGGAGGAGAGGGGAGGGAGGGAGATGGAGAGAGGAGGGAGAGAGAGATGGAGAGAGAGAGGGAGAGAGAGAGGGAGAAACGGGAAGAAAGAAAATAAGAAGCAAAAAATCAAGGAATAATAAAGAGAATGAAAAAAGATTCATCTATGGAAATAAATTAAGAAAAATTCGATGAAAGAAAATAAAGAAAAAGATGCTAAAAAGACCCCCACCACCAAATATAAATAAATAAAATAAAAAGAAAGAATAACAAAAATCAAGAAATTAGACCGAAACAAAAATGAAGTAGTAAACAAAATCGCTGTTGATGTTCAATCCGAGATGAAAAAAAAAAAAAAAAAAAAAAAAAAAAAAGAAAATTTTGAATGGTAATTTTTAAGGCTAGAACCCCCTCCCCCAAAACACTATCTGAAAGGCTGATGTAAAACGATCTTTCATGCCAATTTTCTTTCATTTTTGCTTTATACCGTACTAAGGAAAGCTTAATAATTATAAGTTATTATAAGTAGTTGTTGTTCAAAATCAGGTAAAAAAAAAAAAAACGCCTGGATTTTAAACGCTGATTTTTAAAGTTTAGCGAGTCCTCACTTCGAAGATAAAATCCCCTATACTAATTTCCATTTTAAGGAACTAATTTCCGTTTTCCTGAGCTAATATGACCTTAGTAAATCGCGATCAACATTCGGATCCCCAGAAATAAGAATGATGTGAAAACTAACGGAAATATTTTGAACAAAAATAATAAAACGATAAAAACACAGGAGAAAGTTTCTTAAAGAAAACAGTTAGATTTGATACAGTGCGTGAATTTATTGATTGCAGTTAAGTTTGGAGGTCGTGGAGAGTCTTGATCGCTCATGTCCTGAAACGACACGGCACGTAGAAAAAGAAGAAAAATTAAGTGTAGTTCTTTTAGTTTATAAGAATTCTGTGGAGAACGGTGAAAACGGTCGCGCAGACAACAGGTGACTACATTGTTCAGTAAAGAATCTTTTTAACTATTGTAGGCAACGATAAAAATAAGTGTAAACCACATAGATTAGTGTTACTACTCCAGTGACTATTATGAGAACAGGGAGGAATCGATAAAAAAAAAGAAGGAATTTTGCTTTTTATTTATATAACAAATATTTTCCCTGATACTAGAATAGCAGAAATAATCATCAAACTACTAGTGAAGGCGATGCTGATGATGATGAAGATCAAAGTGATGGTGACCATGCGTGATAATAATAATAATAGTAGGCACGATCAGAGAGATTGAAAAATCGGGAAAGAGTTGGCACAGTTCAGACAATGGTAATGTTGAGGTCAGCTCGTGTCCCCAGAGACAACCAACTTGTATGGCCATATAATTGCACGAAACTACAACAATAATAATGATAATAATAATAATAATAACAATAATAATCTGCTAAAGAATATGAACAAAGTTGTAAATATAAGTATTTTGAAATTGAAACTGCAAAAAAAAAAAAAAATATGTTTCCTTGTTCTACCTAATAGTAACTGGAGCCCCGGATACGATATGGCAGCCCATATTTAAAAGAGATTTTTAAAAAATTGCCTTTTGTAGAATACCTCCATATTCAGAAGGGTATTATTAATGTAAAGAAAATATAGACGTTGTACATGTTAAGTACAGTGTAACCCGGATATAAGAGAGTTGTCGGGACCAGAGAAGAAGTCTCTTATATCCGGGTTTCTCTTATATTCGAGTTTGGTCTATTTTGTTTAGGTAAGTATAGGCTCTAATTTGGGACCAGAGAAAATCTCTCTTATATCCGGGTTACACTGTATCAATTAGCATAAAAATTTGTGCAAACAGAATTCATATATTTACTGCTAAGGTCTACCGGTAAGGAATCATACTAAACAAAAAGAACAACAACAATAATAACAATAATAATAATAATAATAATATTGATGATGTACAGGAAAAAAACTCTACTTTGGCGTGCAAGAGGTTTAGGGTGTGCTGTAAACTATATCACGAGAACTGATATACATTATGAAAGAACTGTCTGTATGCATTATGCAAATGTGAAAATCACGAGGTAATGTTTCGATGATGACAGCAATCTAATTCATTGTTTAATGTATGAGTGGGGCTCCTAAGCTAGGGAAAAAGGCAAGTGTGTCGATAAAGACTCCTGGCGATTTGGAAATATTTCTGAAAGTCAAATATTTTAATATTTTAAAACGGTTAGTATAAATATGAAGTTCCGTCTTTTTTTTGTGCCGAAAGCATTTGTCACACATTCACACGAATGTATACGTATATATATATATATATATATATATATATATATATATATATATATATATATATATATGCATACGTCTAGTTCCAATTAATTAATGAGCTAAATAATATCAAGTTTGGCATTTTAGGAGAAAAGGTTGGTGAAGTTCCCTATGGATAGAGAAATATTTGAAAAACACAAATCTATTCGACAATAAAATAAAAAGTAAACCTTAATACAAGTATATATATATATATATATATATATATATATATATATATATATATATATATATATATAAGAGAGAGAGAATGAAAGCAAATTATTAATATATACAACATACAATATATATATAATTAATATATGCAACATACAATGTATATATAATTAATATATACAACATACAATATATATATAATTAATATATGCAACATACTAGCTATATCTAAATACATAATGAAATCAAATTATCACTAAAAATTATTAATGCACTAAACATACGTGGTAGGTAGGTAGATAAATACATTTGAACAGTGATAGATAGATAGATAGATAGATAGATAGATAGATAGATAGATAGATAGATAGATAGAAAGAAAATTGGTAACTAGATAGATAGAAAAAAGAAAATGAAAGGACAGATAGATAGATAAGGACAGATAGATAGATAGATAGATCGAAAGAAAGAAAGAAAGAAAATGAGAGGACAGATAGATAGTTAGATAGATCGAAAGAAAGAAAGAAAGAAAGAAAATGAAAGAAAATGAGAGGACAGATAGATAATGAGAGCGATGGGGACAATGTTGATCGATTGATAACGAGTACTCAAACAGATATGTTGAAATAAGTATCCAAGATATAACAGATAGGATTTGTGAAACAAATACGTGGAAACTTTTATTTGCCTTGATAATTCCGTGTCTAGTGGCGTTAATGATGGTAGGAAGATTAAACAGTAGTCTTAATTAAAAAAGATAGAATAATGAAAGGAAAAGTTCGTCACAGAGAGAGGAGAAAACTACAGAAAAAACTAGAAAAATATTGCAAATAAAGAAAAAAAAAAGAAAGAAAATTAGATAAAAAGATACAGAGGAACAAAGAAAAAGAGAAAAAGAGAAACGAGCGAATGAAAGAAAGAGAGAAAGAAAGAAAGAAAGAAGAGAAAGAAAGAGAGAAAGAAAGAAGTGAAAGAAACTAAATTAAGAAGAGACAAAGAAACAAAGATGAAGGATAATCAAAAAAAAAGAAAAAGTAATTTGGTGAAAAAGAAAGAAAAATAAAACTGAAGGAATGAAATAGAAAAATAAGCCAAAGAAAGAACGAAAGAAAGAACGAAAGAAAGAAAAAAATATATATATATATATATATATATATATATATATATATATATATAAATGAAAGAAAGAAAGTAAATCGAGAAAAAAAATAAGGGAGAAGAATGTTAATTAAGACAAAAAAGATGAAAAGAAAGAAAGACAACATACAAAGAACGAATGAATAAATAGATAAAGAAAGAAAGAAAAAAATGAATTTCGGGAAAAAAGAGAAAAAGAAAGAAACGAAGAAAAATGAAAGAAAGAAAGAAAGAAAGAAAGAATAAGTGAAAGAAATGGTGAAAGAAAAAGAGGGAAACCTCGATGCAAAGAATATGAGAAAATAAGGAAATTTCATTTCGACTATCTTTCCTCTTTCTTAAACCAACCATGGCGAGATTTCTCTTAAAAAAAAAAAAAAAAAGCCGAAAAGAAATCTCATAAATAGTAACTGAGCAAAGTTGAAATTATTTCTTTGAAATATTCGATTCAAAATGACTAAAAAGACTGAATTTTCAGTTTAACGAAATATTAAAGAATTCTCAAATAATAAAAGAAAAACGCGCTGAGAAATGTCACGTGATCATGCATAATTTAAATTCTTTATGTCAACCGGCTGAGAAAAATGAAAACGGCATTTTCTTTTTGCCAAAATTACCAAGCCAAAATCTTTCTGAAGATTATTCGCATCAGTGGAACAATTTTTACATCTTCCAATTCGTTTTTAACAATCTACCGAACAAATATATATATATATATATATATATATATATATATATATATATATATATATATATATATAATAAAAACGTTTATTTCGAACACAGGCAATGCAAAGTAGTTTTCCGGTGATCAAGGTGTAGTATCTGCACGAGAAATATTTGCTCGAATAGCCGTAACAATTTACTATATAAGTGGAGTTTTTTTTTTTTTTTAATTAATTTTAAAAACAAGGTGTAACATCGAAATCGAAAGGTGTATTGGAATAACGAAAGATGTCTTCCAAAATCTAAAAATAAAGTATTAAGAAAAGAAAAGAAAACTGGGGAAAAAGAGAAAAAGAAAGAAAGAACAAAGGATAAATAAAAGAAAGAAAGAAACTAACAAAAAGTAATTTGGAGAAAAATAAAGAAACAAAGAAAAGTGAAAGAAAGGAAAAGAAAAAGAAATAAGAGAAATATTCAAAGCTGGATTGGGATAGACAAAGATGCCTTCCAAAAGCTAAGCAACGTATTAAGAAGTAGGAAAATTTGGTTAGACACTAAAGAAAGAATAGCTGAACTGTCATGTAATATCAATAATCCTCTATGGCAGTGACCGTTGGACTATATATTCACAGATGAGGAGAAGTCTTGAGGCAACAGAGATGTGATTCTACAGAAGGATGATGAGAATACCATATATAGAACATATCAGCAACAAGGAATTTTAAAGTAAAATAGAAACAAAAAGGATACATATGCTTAGGATCATTGTGCGTTTTCGCAATGAAGAGGAGACTTGTGGCCACAGGAGCGTGGTTCTACAGAAGGATGCTTTGAATAACATAGACGGAACGTATCAGCAACGAAGAAGTATTAAAGGAAATTATGTAGAAATGATCGCTCGGACTATGTCGCCAACCATCCCCTGACGCCGAGATGCCATCCAATGTACTGAAATAAGGATCGAACACACTATGAATGATTTACGCATCTTGCTTGCTAACTTTTCCACTACGCTCAGGCATTTACCTATGTCTACTGCTATTGTTAACTAGACTCTTTCAAGAGTTAAAAAAAATTTACGCCCAGTGAAACATATTTAATAAAATCTAGAAATGATAAGCGATCACTTTCAATTATCGCGTATAATGTATTTCCTTTTTCTAAAAGATTCTTTAGGAAACACAACGAATGAATAAAATTGAATTCCAGTAATGGAGTAACGCTTCGTAACATACTCAAATCTTATACATATTTATAAATACCAACATGTATCTACATACACAGATGAGCTAAAATATGAAGAAAATGCATGTTAAGAATGACACCTACTGTCTCGTAACAACTGCCCATTTTAAGATAGATGAGTGTGCTCCGAGTATTTCATTTTGATATTTTGAATTCCATAGTTATTATGAAAAAGGAAAAAAAATTGAATGACTTTAATCAAGCACAAATAATTATAGTCAAAATAATAGGTCAGAAATTTTGAGGAGCTCAGGTTCAATAATTGCAAATACTTATCGCCAGTGGACCAAAGAGGTGAAATCATTCACTTGGTATCTGGCAGCTAAGACTAATCGACGTGAGAAGTGAGTGGAAACTTTCCCATCAAGTACGAACCAACAGAGTGGTTACGGTGGCACAAATACTCTAGGGCATCACAACAAACAGTACATTGATCTTTGTTCCTCAGGTAGCTACGTAGTCAGAATACCCCTAATAATCCATGTCTGTTGCCAAGCACTGTCATTAATGACGACGCGTGTATCGGAACTTGACATTGTGTCAAAGGTTACTGTTCGATCATTGGTACAAATCTAATATTTCGAATGCTGATTTTTTCGGCAAGTCAGACTAGATGAGCAATTAGTTATTAGTAATTTATTCGGCTTAACTTTGTCTAACGTTAAGTGAATATTATTGGAGAACCTGGTGAGAATCGAATTCATTACATTCTCTATCTGCAAGAGGAGCGTTAGACAGGCGGGTGAAAGACTACAATAGTAAGGCACGAACTGATTGCAGTAGCTAATATTTTATAAGACTAACTTGCTATCACTCAAAACCCGGAAAGGCCAAAGATACTAGATAAAACTCGCTACAGTAGTAAAAACGTGCTAAGGCTCTTATTTATACTACGTACACTAAATTTAATTTTGGTAGAGTTACAATATCATTAATGAGGATTGAACTCGTGACGAACGAGAGGTGTTGTAATGCCAGCTTCCGAAATACTACCCTACAGCTGGAGGAACTGATTGACTACTGACTGATTCTCATGCCATGAAGACGTTGGGCTTACGAGAGCCGTCTTGTCCTTTCAGCTCTCACGGTTTTGGTAGAGCGAGGGGAACATTTTCCAGAGCCGGAAAAAAATACTCCAGAATGCGAGAACATCCCCCAGAGCGAGCGGAACATTCTACAACATGAGAGGAACAACCCTTAAAACCGGAGGAACATTCACCAGAGCGAGAGGAACATTCTTCAGAGTCGGGGAAACATCGTCTAGAGCGCGAGAACGTCCGCCAAAGTGAGAGGAATATCCTAAAGAACGCGAGGAACGTCATCCAGACTCGGAGGAACATCCTCCATAGCATGAGAACATCTTCCATAGTGAGAGGAATATCCTACGAAATGAGAGTAACATCCTCCAGAACCGGAGGAAAATTCCGCCAGAGTCGGAGGAAAATCCCGCCAGAGCCGGAGGAACATTTTCCAGACAGAACAACCTGGAAAGCGAGAGGAACATCCCACAAAACGAGAGGAACATCCACCAGAGCGTGAGAACCTCTTCCAGAGCCGAAGGAACCCCACACACATAGGCACACGGATGTCCGTTTTCATGTGCTACAAGAATTCACACATACACATGCAGACATGCAAACTCATATACGGGGGGGGGGATATACCTACGTGTTTGTGCATACATTGTCAACCAGCTCGCAGGTTTGTTCAGAGCAGGAAAAAAAATGAACGTCTTCTTTCATCTCGAATTATTCTTGACATTCCCAACCCACCATGTATTGAATATTGATCGTTTGCTTACTGAAGATATCATATAACCTATGTGTTATTCTATTATTTTACGGCATTAATAAGAAACTGATTGTAACCATTAAAAAGAGGCTAAAACGAGACACTTTATGGCGCTAGAAAAATATCACGTCCAGCAGATAATCTAATGTATAGGAGGTTTAAGAAGGCCTGAAATCACCTAGTTATAAATTAATTAACAGAGTAAACTGGAGTCTCTAGCCTTGAATGACAACCACTCTAAAAGAGGGAACATTCTGAATTCCAAACCACGAAGAAAGTAACGTACAAACAACTCCACTATGTTTCCCAAGAATTTATGACAATTCACAGATAATTATGAAAAAAGAATCCATGAAATGTCACGATCGTCTACGTCTTGCAGCGATATAGCATTTTTGTGTGTGAATACTGCTCACTCGGTTTACCAGCCTATAGATCAAAAGTCTTACCAAAGAAAATCTGCCGAATATGTATTCCTTCTTTTTTTTATCTGGAAAACCACTTTCAAGCCAAGCGTGCTTTAACGATAAACTACAGAAAGCCATCGCAGCAAATCAAGTCTCAGTTACTTTATTTAAGAAATGCCCATCTCTCGTTCAGACCTTTCCAAGTCTATATCTGGTAATCTTATTTTCGTAGTCGAAACGTAAACAAAGTAATTTGTTAGCAATTAATGATTATTTTTTTTTTATTATGTCATTATTTCGTATTGCTATAAACGTCATATTTAGTGTGTATACCTGTTCCGGCCTGTTAGGGACCAGAGAGAAAGACACGGAAAGACGAAGGTAGGTTGAACAAGTGTATTGAACTAACAGAATATATATACAAAATAAGAGTTGTTATTAGTGAGCAGATAGAAGTGTCCGTCCGAACTATAAGGTTACACAGCGTCCTGACAGACGATATTTAACAGTCCCCACACAAAGAATGTATGTGGCACAAGGCCGAGTTTATCGAGGGTTTCTCCGAGCCCGTAGGCTCGGCCAAAAATATTCCCTTACAACCCGCATAAGCGGGTTCGGGATCTGTCTACCTCCCCGGACGAAGCTTTGCTCTTCAGCAAAGCTTTGTCCGGGTTCCTCTGCCAAAGCAAAGCAGAGAGTTTGACAGAAGTCGCACACAGTCAGAGACTGTGGGTCGACTGCCTCTTTTGGAAGTCTCGCAGGTTAGTCTCTTCTTCATCTTTGAAGAGACCTTCTAACATTCGCTGCCGTAAAGCAGGAGAGATATCACGCAGCAGTTCAGTACTCTTTTCTTTGTTACCAACGATATCCTCCAAAACATTAACTCTTTATTGTAGGTTGAATGCCGACCTTTTTTCTTTTTTTTTTAGTCGGAGATTTTCATATTAGCTTAAAAATAATAATTATTTACCGGCAGGATACTTGCATGTAAAGTAAAAGCTATTCTATTGGAGGGACATTTATGGGATTTCGTCATTTAGTCAGTTCGATTCTTTCCCTTTGGCACTTTGCCAATTCGACACTCCGCTCAACACTTAGTCCACTTTGTTCGACATTTAGTCCATTCGTCATTTTATCCTTCAACAATCTGTCTGCTTATAGGCCGGTAGA